GATAGACACAGGCATATCCCCAACAGCAAACACACACACACACACACACACTCAGGCCATTCTCTGATGTGACCTTCAGCACATGCAGGCTGGCATTCAATTACCGCCCTGTCAGTGGCCCATCCAGCCCAGTGGCTGCACGTCCTTGAGACTCTCGCTCCAGCCTCCGTCCAGTCTATATTCCATTACATCCTCCACATCGGGAGCTCTGTCCAGCATAACGTGGCGCTCATATCCTCACCACTGTGAAACACACACACAGCGTTCCCTCTTGATGCATCCTTTACAAAATCTCCAACTGCAGTGAGCAATGGTTTCCCTCGCTCATACGCTGAATCAAATCCAAGCATGAGGTAAATATTAGATTTTAGTTTTACTGGGTGAAATATTGTGCTGGTGTCAAAAAAGAGGTTTAGAAAACCTGAGCGCCGCTCTACATCTAAAATCGTCTCTCATTGAACTCCCTCAGTTTTCATATTTTTCCTCAATATTGTTCAGTGCGTTATTGGACCTCATTACTGTCAAAACATTTCGCCAGCTCTGCGCCGCCTGATTATTGCCCAAAATTGCCTTGAGAGTCTATTTACTGTACAAATCTGTGATCATTACTGAAAGTACAATGTAGTAAAAGAGCCGTTTTCAGCCACTGCCACTTGAAAAACACTCACAGTTGAAATCTCTTGCAGATTTAACCCTGTGTGCCCCTGCACTTCCGCTGCAGTGATTCATGTGCCGGTCTGGACAGCTGTTGATTGACCTCAAACAGATGTCTATTATTGGTTTATGATGTTTGTTACATCACATTGTGTGCATCAGTAAACATTTGTCTTTGGCTGCTTCACTCAGCTCTGGATATTTTTGCACATTTGCACTTTGCTAATGTGTTTTATTTATCTAATAAACCACTGAATATACATCATGGATAAAAGCTTTATAAGGCTACTGTAATTATTGACTGAGTGAGCTGTTGCAAGAGCAAAACTCTCACAAGAGCTGCGACAATTAGTCAATTAATCAATTAGTTGATGGACAGAAAACAATTGGCAACTTGTCAATCAATTAATGGTACAAATCATTTTTCAGGTTTCCCAACCTGTGGTTGAGACACCTTTAAGAGGTCACAAGTTAAATCTAAAGGGTTCAAAAGATGCTTAATGTTCTGCTACACTAATTTGTTTTCTTAGCTCCAATCTAAGCCCTGTTTGGGACTGTCTTCTGAGATTTTATAGACCAAATGATTAATGATTAATCGAGAAACTAATCAGCAGCTTAATCGATAATGAAAATAACCACAGGTTGCAGTCCTGGCTCTAGCTTAGACTAACTTGCTGTGACACCGCCTGTTTAACCTATGCCCAACAATGAGGAATTATCCCCCCCTGTATTTTGCTTTTGTACATGAACTGCCTGCCTTATAGATGATTTATTTGACAGGTGACTGAATTGTTACCCTTCAGGAATTCATGATCATAGCAGTAAATCCACTATATGCCGAGGATAGATACATAAAACATATTGGGCTCCTGGATTTATTAGCTGCCTGATTAATGCAGAACTTACTCAACAGATTTCTGCCTCTGTGTATTTGGGGTTTCACTCTTCACTTTCCAACTTCAGTTGAATTTATGTTTACAGTGCCAAAGCAATCATGAGTTGCCATCATCTCTTAACTATATTGATGCCTTTACATCTACAGTACTGTCTATTTGGAAGATCTTAAGCGTGGACCATTGTACATTTATGTCTTGTTGCTAGCATAAATAGTTCCCCTGAATAAGCCCCCATAAACCCTACATTTCCATTAAGGAAATGAAAAAGGCTTCAGCGGTGACCAAGCTTGTGCTGATTGTCCCTTCATGAGGATCTCATAAAAAAATTGGAGAATTATTAGCCCTCCAATATATTATCTCAAGTCTTTAAAGTCTCTTCTCTGTCCAAGACGTGCCCCTCTCGCCACCAGCATCCAAAAATATTGTCAGTGAGAAACATGAGCCGCTAAACCTATGCAACCTGAACTGTCTGCAGAGAAAACAATGGATTTCAGCAGCAGGCACTGTTGTGCCACAGGGTTTGAGCCTGTGCTTCATGTCAAGTGACTCTACTTACTCAAACCAAACAATGTGTCCAGTGTGTTTCATTGTGGATGTGGGCCCGCTTGCTGTTTTTCTCTAAAAAGCAAAAGCGCTGCATCCATACAGTAATTTAACTCAAAAGACACTTCAAGTATCAGCCACAATTTGTTATCCAACACCCCTGGTCCTGAAAATCTACGACTACAGGTCAACTATAACTCAGTTGTCTCAGTTTGTATTAAGGACCAAAGTGTATCTTTGATCTGTATTAACAGTAGCAAATGTTTCTATTGGGTTAATGTACTGTAAATATTTCTAAAAATGTCCAGTTAGTCTTGCCAACAGTCTTGCCAAACCCTTGGTATTCTTCTTTGTCACCCTGAATAACCTTATTTTAGTATACATGAGAGATGGTGACTAGATAATGAAATCTGAATTAAAGCTGCAATGTGCAATTTTCCACAGGTTTAAAGGAGTAGTTTGACATTTTGGGTAAAATGCTTTTTCACTTTTTTTGAGTTAGATGAGAAGAGTGACACTGCTCTCATGTCTGTACAATAAATATGAAGCTACATCCAGCAGACAATTACCTAGCCTGCGTCTGTCCAAAGGTAACAAAATCTTCCTACCAGCACCTCAAAAGTTGTTAAACTTTTGGATTAAACAATCAAGATATAAAGTGTTAATTACTAAGCTTTAGAGGTGGTGGTGGGCGGATTTTGTTACCTTTGCACAGAGCCAGAAAAGCTCTTTCCCTCTGATTCCAGTCTTTGTGCTAAGCCAAGCTAACTGGCTGCTCTAGCTTCATATTTAACATACAGATATCAGAGTGATCATCAATTCTCTCATGTAACTTTCAGCCAGAGAGAGAACAAGCATATATTTCAAAATGTGTAACAATTCCTTTAAGTCACCCTGAGGTGCCATAGCACCCACTTTGGGATTTAGTGATCAAATTGAATTTTTTTTCTCTTTTCTAAACAGAAGAACAAGTAAGTTTGGTGTCACATGACTCAGCACAATAACTGTGTGGAGCGTTGAAAGGGGTTATTATAATCGTTTTTAAAGGTGTTATAAATGAGGCTGCAATGGAGCGTGCTCAGGTGTGAATTTCAGGCTTTTGGCAAGTCTGAAAGGATTAGTTTAGCAGATTTCTGATTTTGTTGTGCTTATAACTGGATGGGACAGGTTTCCTCAGAAGCGTATTAAAAGGTCATGGTTCATACAGTTTGCAGGGCAGCGTCATGCCCTGCATGAAGCTCTTTGCAGCAATCAACTCCCCACTCGATCAGTCTCAGCAGTCTTTATACATTTTGACGCGGCAAACTGTGCTTGATCAAACACAGACTCCCCCTCAGTTTTATTTTAATGAAAAATGCTGCTTTATTACTGGCGTGATTTAGATGGTCCCAAATTAGTACATGTAGTTGATGTACAACTTCTATGGCTTGCAGCTGTCAGTCTCTTTCCCTATGAGCATATTTTTCACTTGTAACATTTACAGTGGGTTGGTTGGAAGTTAATTCTGTTTTATGTTAGTGTTCAGACTTGTGCAGCTTCATGTATTCCAGTGCTGGTCTATTGAAGACCTGCAGGGGCTGTTAAATGCTCATGCGGGGTTCACTGAGTCATGCACACGTTTCATTGGTTTTGTGTTGCTAATTAGAGCTCAGGGTAGCAAAGCATGGCTTCTTTTACCTTCTTACTAAAGAGGCACAATAGCAAAGCAGATTCCAGCACTGAGGTCTGTAACTGGCTGACCACATCTCCACTTTAAAAAGTGTAATTTGATTAAATCTGCTCTGTTTTAGTCCAGAATGTGTGCTGGTTGAAACGAATAAAGTAGATTAACTCTATCACAGGATAATGCAGATTAAACTGGTTAACACAAGCACTAAGTGATTGTGCATATGGCCTTTAGGGGTGGAGTTAGAGTGGTATTTTTTCAGACAGAAGTGAAGAAGAAGAAGAAGTGAAAAATATTTATGTTTTATTTTCAGTGTGCACAGTTGAAGTGCTTTCGGTCATATGAAATCTCCATTTCACACAACAGTGATGGTGGTTGAACATGAAAGAGAGAAACGCCATCACAGACAGTAGCAGTGCTGCTTGAGCTCATAATACCTTCCAAGTCCCGGCATATTTGTTCTTCCTGTAAAAATTAGCCCTGATAATGCAAATGATACTGCTAATGATAGCATTACGTTATTCAGCTGGTGTTTCTCTGGAGTGAAACGTCAGCATGTCTCTTGATCCCTGAAGCGATTTTCCCCCTGGGCGAGGACGGGTAGTCATGCTTGCTCTGACGGTGGAGATACAGCCAGTTCAATGAAAGTGGGGGTGGCAGCTGGAGAAAATCCATTCCCAGAGTGAGCGTTCTGCTGAGGCAGGTATGCCGACCTTTCAGTCATCTGATAGGTCAACGCTCGGCAGCGTGCCTGGACATTCATGGCTAAACGCCAGGCCTGGTGGTGCTCATAGTAAAGCTCATCTGAGCAGCAGCCAGCTATGATCAATGGAACCCCTTGGCAGCTCATTTATAGTACAGTATGGCACAGCCACAAACCACTCACCAACAGATGCAGGTGACAGATGACAATGGACGCATGAGGAAAGCTGATGAAAGGGAGTGGGTTTACCCATGTGCACAGTGACCATTCACAATCTGCACAGTGATCTTGTTGTAGGTCATGAGCATCCAATGCATCTTAAGCAAAGTGTAGTGCAGCAGTTTAGTCGATCACCTTTAATTGCCACCCAATTATTGTTTGTAAATTAGTCTTGGATGACTTGAATGCAATGAGATTTTTCTGCTTTGTCTAGAGGAATCCTGTGCACCTTGTTCTCTGGCATGTCAGACTCCGGCCCCATTGAGATGATCATTAAAATTCCTTGCTTGTACTGAAAGCTGCATCTTTCTCCTCTCAGGTGCCCACGGAGTGAGAGAGGAGCCCCGGTTTGTGACGGCGCGCGCTGGAGAGAGCGTGATCCTGGGGTGTGACGTGTCCCCTCCCCTGGACGGCCAGCAGCCCCCGTATGTGGTGGAGTGGTTCAAGTTTGGAGTGCCTATTCCCTTCTTCATCAACTTCCGCTTCTACCCTCCTCATGTGGACCCAGAGTACACTGGTAAGAAAGATGTAGCTAAAAAAAAGCTCTGAAAGAATACAGAGACATTTTGTTTAAAACTTTTAAATTGATGAGCATTTGGATGCATCTTTGGATGAATCAGGGTCAAGATCTTTTTATCCACAGGACTCTGCAGCAGATACAAAGTTGACAACATCATCTCACGGTGCATACTAATAAACGGTGGTCATACTCTAACACCACACATCTTACTATGCACGTGTAGATTAAATAATAATTAAAGCTGTGACATGCAGATGAGACGATTGATACCACTCTCCTATGTGGGGTAAATATGGAACTACAGCCAGCAGCAGGTTAGCTCAGGTGGAAACGGGGAGAAAACAGCTAGCCTCGCTATGTCTAAAGGTAAAACCCCATTTACACTAAATCACTTCAAAAAAGCAAAGTGTTAATGCTTTCAAAAAAAATTCAAGGACAGATTGAAATTCGATTGTTGCATTGATCTTCCCATCTAACTTTCTGAGAGCAGATAGAGCGCGTAGATGGGCTGCTGGCTGTGACGTGTCCCATCCGGCTTTGAACGCCTTGACCCTTGCGGTCAGTGACGTCCTCATCGCGATACGATAAGAATTCCCCATCAAGCCATGCCGCCGCCACTCCTGACTTCAGAGATGGTTCCTTATCTTCCAGAAGCTGCTTTTCTCAGAACTAGGTCAACTGATTGGACATTTGTTAATGAAAGCCCACATAGTTGGATGTGCAGTCTCTGGTTGTGGGTGGTAAACTGGTCCAGGAGCAACTCTTTTGATATGAACTTAATTAATAGGTTACAAACATTTAAAACACTTATGGAATTTTGGACTGTTATCATAATTGATGTGCCTGGGTCAAACAGGGTTAGATCCAGAATATATCAGGTTTATAAGGGAGAAATGCCTGTAAAATCTAGTTCCCAGTATGGTGCTTTGGCTGTATTTTGAGAATGTGCTTCACTATCCACAGTCTCTAAATGGATGAATTTTGGCCCCATAAGTTAGCTGTGACAGTTGTGAGAACTCAGCAGCCCCCGTATTGTGTGGAGTCCATAATGTCAAGATGTCTATTGAGAAGGTGCTCTACCTCTTTGGCTCATCACCACATTCTTCATCCCAAATACTCATTTAACTCACGCTTCCATACACCCGTACAGTACACTTGCTTGCACTAGAGTGTGTATCCTCTCCGCTAGTTACATGCTGCTTAAGAGAGATAGTTATAATTGCCTTGAGAGCAAAGTAGTAATGACTTCGTGAAAAGAGACATACATGAGGACTTATTTTTGTCTCTATAAAATACTCTTTATGATGTGATGGAAGCCAATTTGGGATCTAGCTTAGTTGGATAGAATGCAGGTTCGGCTCAAGAGTCTCTACTTGGTGTATTATGCACACAATCTATGGAACTACGCTCGCACAGACAGATACAAAGTTGACAACATCATCTCACGGTGCATACTAATAAACGGTGGTCATACTCTAACACCACACTCTCACTATGCACGTGTAGATTAAATAATAATTAAAGTGTGGACATGCAGATGAGACGATTGATACTACCACTCTCCTATGTGTGGTAAATATGGAACTACAGCCAGCAGCAGGTT